TAACAAATTTATTAATTTTTTAAAAATCATGATTTTCATAGGTATTTTTTTAAATAGGGGAAAGCGGGGCAACATGGCGAATGGGGCAAGATGGGTTTTCATATAACAACTCAACAAAAAAATCTTAAAATTGGATGAAAATGAAACTGTATTTACATCTTGTATTTTAAAATACCAATTGGTTTTTTTTAAATATTATTAACACAATTTTATACCCATAAGTTTACTTTTTGCGCTTAAAAAAAAATTCCTCAGTTTCGGTTTCTCATAATGGTTGGTGTCCTTCAAGTTTAACTTCTTTAGAAGTTTTTTGTGACTTGTGTTTATTTTGTCTTACTTTAGTTAGAATTATTGATAGTTTTTAAAATTTTATAAAATTGTAGGCAAAAATTGCATAATAAGTCATCTTGCCCCGGTCACGTGACCAGATGACAAATTCATGAGTTTTTTATTTTAATATTTATTTCAAATTGTGATATTTGCAAACTGAAAATTCATGCAGGCAATGAATAATTTTAATAACATAAACATACTGAGAAAGTATTATTGCTTCACGACTGATATGCAATAACTCAGAGCTTACAAAACGTTCGCCATGCCCCGCTTTCCCCTAATTATAAAAAAAAAGTAACCATGTCATTGTTTTTATTTGATCAAATATATAGTATGATAGCTTCTTCAAATCGACATAAGTGGAGGTATAATCCTCACTCATTCTGTTATATATGATTGCATATATAATTACGAAATTACAACATACAATTACAACATACAAAATTAGTAATGTTTCGTTTTTATCGAACAAGTGTATATATACACTAGTTCGACAAAGACGTAACATTACTCATTTTGTAAAACTAGCATATAAATTGTATTTTGATATTAAACTTGGCGACCAAGACAAAAAGTACCTTACGGGCATTTATTTTAAAAAGTTACGTTCTAAATTTCTTTTAAACGTCTTTTAAACGTATTCTAAACATTCTAACGTAAAGAACGTTTAAGAGACGTTTAAAAAACGTTTAAAAAAGACATTTAGAACGTAACTTTTAAAAACAAATGCCAGTAGGGTGGGCTCCACATATTGTGTGCCATATTTGTGAAGAAAGTCTTCAAGATTGGACAAAAGAAAAAAGAAAGAATTTACCTTTTGGAGTCCCCATGGTTTGAAGGGAATCATTAAATCACATTTACGACTGCTATTTTTGTCTTGTTGATACTACTGGTATTGGCAAAATAAAGACGCAAAAAATGTCTTATCCCAACATTCCTTCTGCTATTACGCCAATTCAACATTCTATCGAGATTCCATTTCTAAATTTTAAAGATTTATTTTCGTCAGAAGATGAACAAAGCATGTCTGTTACAGAAACAGAAGAATTTTTACCAGAAGACTTCTCATCTAATGCTAAACAATTTAATTTGCCTCAGTGTTTTAGTTAAATAGAACTGAATGACTTAGTTCGTGATTTAGGACTTTCTAAGCAAGCAGCAGAAGTATTAGCATCACGTTTAAAGAAAAAAAATCTATTTTATAGCTTTGCAAAAGTTTCTTACTTTAGAACAAAAGATAAAACCTTTGTTAACTTTTTTTCAGAAGTCAATTTATTTGTTTACTGTCATGATATTTCAGGTCTCCTATTACAGTTGGGTATTTCTGTATATAATTCAACAGAATGGAGATTTTATCGATAGCTCAAAGCGAAGCCTCAAATGCGTCATATTGCACAATGGAAACATTTTTGGTTCTGTACCAATTGGTCATTCTGTTTATTTGCGAGAAACTTGCGATGTCATTAAAATGGTGCTTAACTTGATTAAATATCACGAAAAAAACTGGATTGTTTGTGTAGATCTAAAAATGGTTAACATTCTACTTGGTCAGCAGAAAGGTTTTACAAAGTTTCCATGTTACCTCTGAGTGTGGGACAGTTGAGCAAGAAATCAACACTGGATACAAAAAGAATGGCTTATTCGCCAGACTCTCACAGTGGCCATGCACAATATTGTGAATGAACCCATTGTTAGTCAAAATTAAATAGTTTTTCCACCGCTCCATCTTAAACTTGGATTCATGAAACAATTTGTTAAAGCACTGAAAACTGATAGTGATTGTTTTTAGTATTTAGTTACATCATTACCAGGTTTGTCTATGGAAAAAAAAAAGGCAGGAGTTTTTAATGGGCCACAAATTCACTATCTTATAAATGATAAAAAATTCATTAGCACAATTAATATTAAAGAGAAAACGGCTTAGTTGTCATTTGTGGTTGTTGTAAAAAACTTTCTCGGAAATGAAAAACCAGAAATCTATTCAGATTTAGTTGATAAAATGTTGAAAGCTTTTTATAATTTTGGATGCAAAATGAGTATAAAACTTGATTATTATAAATAGTCATTTTGATCAGTTTCCAAGATTTTCAGTTTCCTGAAAATCTTTGAGATGTGAGTAAAGAGCAAGGAGAGCGATTCCATCAGGATCTTAAGACAATGGAAGATAGTTACCAAGGACGTTGAGACATACACACGATGGCAGACTACTGCTGGGGTATCAAACGAGAAGACGCAGGAAAAGTTTATAAACGAAAGAGCAACAAGCAAAAGTTTCTTCCTGATTAAACAGTTGTAATTAAACAATCTGCAATCTTTTTTAAAACTAAAGTAAAACATGATTTTGTTATTAATCAATAAAAAGATGTTAACTTTGTAAGGACTTGGAGTTTCAACATTTTTTAAACAGTTTCCATTTTATTTTCATCTGTTTTCTACTTTTGTTTTAATTTTGTAAACAACTTTTATTGTAAAAAATATGTCCTAGCATTTTTGAACGAGCTTCAAATCTGTATTTTAAAACTATTTCTAATGTTTTGCAAAATAAAAAAACATTTATTGCAAAAAATTTGTAGCTTTCCATAAAAATCTGATGCCAGATTTAAATTCAACGTATCAAAATTTTGTAAGAACAAGTGTCAAATTTAATGCAATAAATTGTTTGTAGACCTGTGTTATCAAAATTTATTGATGTCGTTTCTTATTTGTTAAACCATCATAAATCAACTCTAGCTATTTTGATATTGAGAAAACATCTCAGCTCAGCTCATCTCATCTCATCTCATCTCTGCTCATGTTACGATTGGAACTAAAAGTGTTTGCGGACTAAAGGTGAAAAAAGTTTAATTTTTTAAAAAACTATTATTTTGTTTCACATTATTTATTATTTTGTTTCACATGTCATTTATTTAGCAGCGTAATGAAATATTTTCAAATATACAGTTGTATGTGGAGTAATCAATTCTCAATGGATATAGAGTTTTCTGTACCTCTCAATTTATTTCTGCATTGAATGGCTAATCCAAAAACAGAAAAGCTTGAATGACTAATCAATAAAAAAAAAATCATAAATAAACAAAAAAAAGTGATAAATATTTAAAACAAATTTAAAAAACGTTGATTAAATACAGACAAGTTATTGTGGAATGTGAGTAAGTATATATATATATATATAAAATAAATGGCCTGACAAAGGAGAAATTGATTTTGAAAGAGCAACTAAAGATACATCTTCTTCTTCAAAAAGGTACTGTTAGATCATTAAGCAATCTGTACCAACTGTAAACTTTGATGGCTCCTCATTAAAAAATAAAATACTGAAAAATTAATGAAATTACTGATTGCAGAACTAATCAAATACTGTTTGCTGCTAAAGTTGAATTTAATAATGCTAAAGGAACAGACAAAAGTGAAGTGTTCATAAAATTTTAGAAACAAATAGTAAACCAACAACAATGACTCTAACTGATTCTTTTGTATAACATTTAGATTGTATCAATTCATTTGAAATAATGCTTTAGTAAAACAAACTTTTACATATTCAGCGTATAACAATATCAGGTATGCAAAACAACTAAAAGTGAAATATTTTTTAGTGATTATTTAGCTAATATTTTATTACAAGATCTTGTAAACAACAGTTGTAAAAGGTTAGTGGAATTACTGAGAAATATTCGTTTGTCTATTGTTTGGTAGAACAACACTGTATTACAATTATAGATTTTATGAATCAAAAAGTCAAAGTATTTATTACCAGAAATTATTAGATAACAACTCTCGTAACTAATGACATGAAAGTTCTTTGTATTTTATAAGCGCAGCTCCTTTAGAACTTAAAGTCATCGTCAACCATTTAAGGATAACGTGTTAAACTAGAAACTATATCTGGTTAATAAAGAAAACGAATTTAAAGATAGAACGGCTAAGGAGCTTTTGGTAGCAGTCACTCATAACTTTCGGTAAGAAAAAACTACTTTCGGTAGTAGCCACTGATAACTTTCGGTATTAAACACTAATAACAATCACTACCGAAAGTCACTAAGTTCAAAATCAAAATTAATAAGATGAATCAGAATTTACTTTTTATCCTCTGTCCTAATAATGATCTTTTTTACTGCCATTTGGTCTTCCAAAAATATCAAATCCTTAAGCTATCTTTTTTGGATACATTTTGGTGTGTCTCTCTATATATCTATCTAAGCTTTTTGCTGTTAAAATTTGGTTACCCACTACTAAAAATAGGTTAATGTTATGCAAAACATTATATCTAAAGAAAGTCAATTAAAAACACGACCTTTATGAGAAGCGCAGATCTCGCATTAGTACTCGTGCCAAAATTAGTAAATATGACACTAGAACACAAACAGACACAAATTTACACTAATACACAAACAGACACAAATCAACATTAATACACAAAAAGACACAAAATTAGTAAATATGTCACTAATATTAAATCAGTTATAAATTTTTTCTCAAAATTAGTACAACAAAACAGTTACTCAATTATTTTAGGTTATACTATATTTAGATTAGAGTGAATTTAAATTACTTTATTGACATTAAATATTTAAATGATATCAATGGGGATAGATGATAAAAATTTTGTCTTTTAAAAGAATAAAAAAAAAAAAAAAAATATTTATTTAATTATCATTTATTTACTTTGTACAAATAAACTTTACTTTGCTGATTAAGTTATAAATAATACTTGTATCAAGTTGTCAAATAAACTAAAAGTTATAGAAACTAATAGGTATAATACAGCTGAAAAATAAATAAGTTAAAACACCGTTATCTACTGTTACCACAAAATAATGTTAATAGTTCAAAATAATTATAAAAGTATCCAACTTCTAAATTTTGAAGCCAACTTTTTTGGTGTATTTAACTTTTAAAGTTAAATACACGAAACTTTAAACACCGAAAGTAATACTTTCTGAGTTTACCGAAACCGAAAGTTTTTCTGAGTTTAAAGTCTTATTTTTCAACTCAGGTACATGCTTACTCAAAATTAATTGCAATTAATTTAATGAATATTTTTACATCCGCAAACAATCAAATATGGACGGTCTTTTAACCTGCAGTATTTCGCAAGGAAACAAACCGACAGGCGGAAAGCACATTTCTTGTGAAAAAGATGGAATAGGTTTGCGATAAATTGACTTTATCTTTATATCAGGTGTGGGAATTGGAGATTCAAATAGATTAACGCAATCGTATGCCGTGTCAATGTTATTAAAATCCTCAGAACTCATGCTGTTAAATAACATCGAGCTTCTTGGTGAAGTTTCGCGAGACCGACGACGATGATCAACATCGTTTAAATGAAGATTGTCAACATGAGGTATATTTACGTATAACAAATTTTTGGAGTTTGAACAGGGATCAAACAAAACGTAAGTCTTTGGTAATTGTTGACAAGACTTTTCGTTGTTTTCAACATTCTTTTCCAGGAAAAATTCTTTGATTAATGGTATATGGTGAATAGAACGCATATCGGGATGATCGGCAGAGAGCATTTTTTCTACTTGTCCACTTGAATTCCCAATATTATCTAAGTGATTCATGTTTGTGGATTCAGATTCTGTTGAGGTTTTCATTGATTCGAATTCATCTGCAAGTGAAGCTCGTTGCAACTTATAGTTAATATCTGAAGTGCTGATTTTTATTGTAGGACAAATTAGTGGTTTTTTGTTTGATATATTTTGGACTTTTTTGGCAGTTTTTTGATATTTTCTTTCATTAATAGGTTTTTTAACAGCAAAGGGACCAGAGTTGTTACTTTTATTAGTTGTATTTCTTGCTTCTTTTATCGGATTACAAGTACAAATGCATGGGTTATTAACCTGCTTATCTCTTAAGGAGAAGAAATTATTATCTTTATAAAAAAAAAAAGATTTTTTTTTACCCTTGTATCCCGGCACTGGCATTAAAATCAAACTTTCAACAAGCTGCTGTAACCGAATTATAATTGAAAGCAAGACATTTTGAGAATTAACAATTATTGCCTCGTTCACCAAGTTCATTATTTTTTTGAGACGTTGTTTAGCAACGTAAGGAAAATAACTAATGATAACATCTTTGGATGGTTCTGTGTATTTAACAATAATAATTTTCAAATTTGTTCCCACAAGTGTAGTAAAAAGTTGGCGAAACCTGGTGTTTGTAAGCGACTTTTCGTTTAAATATACCAAAATAGCGCATTCGGTTCCGCATCGAGCTAAATCTGAGTAAATACTTTTTTCGTTTGTAAACCAAGTGTTACAGTAAGCTGATAGATCTTTTAATGCAACTAAAAGTGTACCTAAATTGGAATCATATTGACATTCCTCAGCAACCAATACAAGCAAAGTGAGTTCATTGTTTAAAAACCTAGTCATACTTTTTGGCTCTAGTTTCTAAAATAAAATAAACTATATTTAAAATTCTATATTGCGTTCTTGACAAAATAATCTAAAAACTCTAGAAACTTTTGATTCATACATAGTTACATCGTAACTAAGAATGGTCGTTAGGTTTCCTTAGTTACATCGATTCCTGCGTGATTACATCAAATCACGAGTAGAGTTAAAGAGTTTTAAAAAAAATTAGTCAAAAAAAAAAAAAAAGGTATAACAGTTAAAGATATAACACAAATTACACAAATAAACATTGTGTGATTAAGTTACGGCAGCAAATATCCAGTTTTTTTTTATCCAGTTTTTTTTTTATCAGATTTAAAAAAAAGAAGATTAAATTCTTTATCAAAAGACTAAAAAAAAAATCAGAAATATTTTTATCAACTAACTTAAAGCACATAAGTGTTTTTCTTTTTTATTCAATAATCTTTAAATACAAAAACAAAGCCCTTTTTATTTCGGAGGAAATAAACAATTGAATAATAGTACTAGATTATTTTTGATAATGTAAAAAAACTTTCATAAACAGATTTGGTACCAGATCTCTCTAAAAAAATTTAATTTTAACTTGCATAACATTGCAGATGTGTTTATTCTTTAAACCAACGATAAAAATAAAAAAACAGATAAAAACAAAAACAAGAATTTAAAATTTACAATTCTATTGAATGCAAAAGTTAAAGAAAAACGGAAAAAAAATAATAGTTACAAATAAAAACTCAATAAAGAGGTTTTCCCATGGAAATTAAAATAATATGCGGTAAATTTGAGAAGGAAAGGTAAGATATAAAACACAACAACCTTATACAAAACAACCAAAGTTAAAATAAGAGATCCAACTTAACTACAAAAAGGTCCGTTATTACAATGATAAAATGGTTTGTGAAAATAATAACAAAAATAAAAGATAACATAAAAACATCATTCTCCATAAATTTTTATTCTCAATAAATTTAGGCTAACTGCAACTAATAATATAAAAAAATGTTTTTTTATATACAAAGTTTACTAAGTTTTTAGTAATATTAAAAAAAATTTTGCAACTGCAACTGTCTTTTTGCAACTGCAGATAATGTAAGCATTTAAGCAATTACTAATTACTACTTTGTATATGCTAATATAAAATGATATTTATTACGATTTATGAATATCATATTATATTGGCGTAATTATACAATTATAAGATAGAATTACGTCTTCTTCTTGTACTAGCCATTAATTATTTTGTTGTATATATATGAAAGTTGTATTTATTGTAAAAGGCAAAATTTAAATTAAAAAAAAAAAAAGTTAAACTTTTTATGCTATATGGCTTCTTAAATTGGAATCATTTTAACATTCCTTAGCAACTCCTTAGCAACTAGTCTAAGTGAAATTGTGGTATAAAAACCTTGTTCTTTTAGATTTTATAGAAGAAAATAGTTTACATTAAAAAAAACAGATGTCTTTTATCTGTAATCCAGCAAAAATTTCTAAAATGTAAAAGTTGAGAAAATCGTATTTTGTGTAATTACAAAATATACTCTCTCACAAGATCAATTATTTTTGATGTGTATTTTCACACAAAATCTTCAGATTCGCTCACAAAAGATTTTACCCTTGAAATTATTCACAATAGTTGAATATAAAAATCTGTTTCTGGAAAAACTTTATATAAAAATGTGAAAAACTAATATATTTTTCTACAAAAATATGAAAGACTAATAAATTTTTCTTAAAAAATATGAAAACTTCTAACTAATTTCAAACTAAATATTTATTTGTTACATTTTTATGCATATATGATGATTTTTTGTTTGTTTGTTTTGCTTGTTTTTTGTTTTGTCTAATTTATTTATGGTATTACCTAATAATTAAGACGAACTTGTTTTAATGTTAATATTTTTGTAAACATCTATTTAATTTCTTATTTTATACTTTATACTCTCCGAAAAAATTTTTTAAAAAATATATGTAACACGGAGCTCGGAGATAAGACAAAAATAATCTTAGTGCTCCAGCCATTAATTTTTTATTTGTAACTTTATGTAATGTTTATGTTATATGCAAATTTTTGTAATGCTTTTTGTAAGTTTATGTAATTTTGTTCTAATTTTATGTATTTTTTCTTTTTAAGTTTATGCGGCCGTGGCGCAGTGGTTAGAGCGTTTGCTATATAAGCAGCAGATACGAATCGAGCTTTGGACATATTTCGCGTCACGGTAAGGAAAGAGGCGTGAACTTCTAATTAATAAAAATAATTAAACCTTTAATAATTTCACCTATAAAAATAATTAAATAGTAAAATAAGTTTTTTATTTCATTTTTCTGATCTTTTTATATATTAATGAAAATTTTTCATTGTTTACTTTCAGTTAATGTAATATTAGAATAAACTTTATGAGTTGTTCGGACCGTAGAGGAAAAACCAAACCTATTAAACTTTAAATATTGAGAAAATAATTATTCTCATTAATGACACACCAAGTTACGGGATATATGAACATTTGGATTAAAAAATGAAACCTAAAAAATTATAACAGCCAATAAAAATCATTCACGATTAAAAAAAAAAGTGTTTAACTCAAACAAAAAATCAGAAAAGTGTAATTTTGACCACAATTGTAATTTGACATCAATGAAATAAAGGTATTAAAAGATATCTGAATTTTACTATTGAAATTCAGCCGTCAATCCCGTAAAACGTAACTTTATAATTTTATTGGAACAACTAGATACGCGTAATGGAGAGCTTAGACCTAATAAGATTTTCTTTCATGATTGTTTTTGCCAAATTGCAAATTTTTCTAAAATTCCATAAAAGTAATGCAGTTTAAATACGCAGTTGAAATAAATAAAAAAAACAATGCCTAATAAGTTGAAATTAAAAAAACAAAAAAACACCTAATTTAAAAAAAACAACACCTAATTTAAAAAAAAACAACACCTAATCATAAGTTGAAATAAAAACAAAACAACACCTAATTTTCTCGATAAAACAATTATATAAAACAAATAAGATAAAATAACTGCAAAACAAACAAATAAGTGCAAAACAAACAAATAGGATAAAATGAGTACAAGTCAAACAAATAGGATAAAATAAGTGTTTTTTTTTTTGATATGAGCAGCGAAATATATACTATACTAACTAAACTAATCCGTAGCAAGTCTCATTTGCAAAACCAAATAATTTTTTTGATGATGTGGTCGTCTAAATTAGATAAAAATAAAATATATAAGTATTATTAGTATAAACAAAATTAGTAAAAGTAAAAATAAAATTTATCTGAGTACAATAAATTTTTTGCAGTTTCGTTACCAGGGGTCTTATATCAAAGCGTAGAAAATATTTTAAAAAGCAGGATAAAGAGCTCTATATATATCAAGCCCAATTTTAAAGTCTTTATAATATCCTCGGTAATACATCCTCGGTGAAAATAACACCAATTCTAACCATTAGATATTAAAAAAAATAATAAAAGTACTTAGTTTTCGAAACTTAGAAAGCCACAACCACAAGCTACTTGAAAGTCAAGTCAGAAAAGAAAAAAGAAAATCAGTCAGTCAAATAAAAAAAAGAAAGTCAAGCCACTTCAAAGTCAATACTACTCCGATTCTAAATCTTTACAAGAATTTAACAAAAGCAATTTACCAATTTTTAGTATCATTATTTGAATTTGAAAACAAAACTTTGATTGTTTGAAAATTTATTTCGACAAACTTAAACCTAATTTTAAAATTAACAGTCGTACGAAAACTAAATGTAAATGCAATGAAACAGAATTCGAACTAATAACTACACATCAGTTTACTAATCAAAGTTAATTTAATGCAGGTGGGGGTGTAAGTATTTTAATTTATTTTTTAATTATTTATATTATACATAACAATCTCAATATGAATAAAACAGATTGTATGTCATTGTGCATTGAATTAGCAAATAAAACTGAAAAAAACATAATTACTTCTCTTATAAACCATCATCTGGAAATTTTAAAACTGTTTTTGAAGAAACTTTTTGGTTGAAAGAAAAAAAAATTCTTTGTATTTAAATCGAAATATTGATTAAAGTAGTAAAACGGTCGATCACAATAAGCTAAGAGGCATGGTCGTAAAAAAATATATTTTTTGAATAACTATGCAAAAATCTAAAAAAAACTTATCCTGTAAATTGTTGAACAAACTACCGTTAATGAACTCACTTCAACATTATGTGATGAAATGTTTGTTAGCAACTCAATATAAAAGACTTTTTCCTATAATTAGCAAGGTTTTTGTGTCTTTAATTAACAAAAACTTAATCTCTCACTTTCTGATCATCAATATGGATTTTGATCTTCTCGTTCTACAGCTGATTTACTAACAGTAATGAACAATAGATTTTATCAAGCATTAGATAGAGGTATCAGGTAACATCTTCAAGATTATTGAATCCTTCCTTTCCAATCGAATATGAATAATCAATATAAAGTAGCGCTTCTAGAAAAAGAAATAATCATAAATACCAAATCACTTCAAAGTCTCTGGATGTCAAAAGGCTTACTAAAATATATAAAGTATCTTAAAAAAAATCTTATAAAAATGAAATAACTTATAAAAATTATAAAAATATATTCGAAAAGAACAAAAAAATACTCAAAAATGATCTATTATGCTCAGTTATTAAAAAAAACCAACGGAAGCACTAAAAAAGTATGGAATGTAATTAAGGATTTAATTGAAAAAAACAATTAAAAAAAAAACACTCTGCCAAAATTAGTTTATGATAAATCTATTATAGCTGAAGAACTAAACAACTACTTTGTTAATATTGGTCCAAAATTGGCTGCTAAAATTCCACTCAAATCCACTCATTTTGATTCATATTTAGAAACTTATGATAAACTGGATACCACCTTAAACTGGATACCACCTTAACTAGTTTTACTGCTACTATTAAGGATACTAAAAAAACGAATGAACTCAAAACCACATCAGCACCACCACCGAAAATTAATATTAGAGTTGCTATTCAACATGTTGAACATGAGAAATGAGAACTACAAAACAAAGACATAAACGGAGAAAGGCAGAAAATAAATATCTCACTTGACATAGTTATGCATGTATCAGAAATTGAACAGATTTTAAGTAAACCTCAACCTGACTCTGCAACCACTAAAATTAGCCGAACATCTTAAACTCAGATTTTAAATTCTGGGTTAATT